TTTTTTGTTTCCCAAGCTAAAATTGAAGATGAAGGCACACCGATATGAGTCAGTAGAGGCGATTGAAAAGGCGGTGACAAAGGAACTGAACAGTATTCCAGTGGAGGCGTTCCAGAAGGCGATGATGGACCTGAAGACTCGTTCTAAGCGTTGTGTCGAATTGGCGGGAGACTATGTAGAAGCTTGATATTAAAGAGGAGTCGATACATGGCGTTGTTTGATCTGTGTGCGACCAGTCCTTTTTCAATACACTGTGTATCTGTACTGAGATGATTTATGTGATCTCGGTAACGCACTTGGATTGTTTTGATCATCTACAATGTGAAAATGAATGGGTTGAATAGAAAATTGCATATTAATTTGTACATAGACGTATATTCAAGTTTTATTTGAGAAGACGCTTGGCTTCGTATAATCATAAGAAATAACACGTGTGTAACTTGTGCGTTGTCTCAGAAAATTCCCGAGAGTTTTATAGATACAGAACTATATTAAAAATAGAACTTGTCGAATCTCTACGTCTCAAGGTTTTATACAAAAATTGTCATGTATTTATATCATTTGTATATTGTTTTGTAAAGAAACTGCTTCCCTATGATATTGATCATTACATTAACACAATTATTTCATGTACAAGAGATACAAATTTCTTGTTTTGTATGAGTTTCAAACAAGAGGTTTTCGCAACAGCTAAAATCATACGGCAATATTTAGCAAACGTGCAATATTCTTGTGTCATTATTCAAGCAGCATTACAATTATTACATTCATATCACAATTCAAGATTTTACGAAAGGATTATATATTTATTTCAAGTGGAAAAAATTATTCATAAGAGGCTTATGAGACGTGAATGTCTTATAATTTCGATTAACATTTTATCAAGTCTATTTGGCATTGTATGCCAAATTTTTCAACCTAAATGTATCGCAATAAAATCCACAGTCATTGCAACTGGCTGTGATCTCTGATGTTTTATGCTTCGTGGCAGTTGTTGTTTTTTTTAATAAAGACCAGCGTACTACAATATTATTTAAATGTATCTTTCTTTTGCAGATCAGTGAAAATCTCAGAAACCTTTTTATAACATGTCGGACCTTACGACAAAGGACAGATACAGCTTTGATAACATGAGCGCCGGCAGATTGCCGACGCAGAATGTCGCACTGCCAAAGTCTCAGCCAGTGCGTCTCAAGGCGCTACTGCATTGGTGCGAGAACGACGAGGACGACGACGACGAGAGCGAGAAGAAGTCCGACCGGTCTGAGGACGAGTTGGATCTTGACGAGCCTGTGCCGCACGACGATTCTGCCGAGGATGCTCTACAGGAAATGCTTGTACCTAAATCGGGCATCGATTCCTCATTGAACGAGTCATCAGACGAAGTCTTCAAAATTACATCGCCGAAAGAAGTTGTGGCTAGCGCTCCTTCTGTACAAAGAGAAACAAGCTTTGCAACCGATAGAGAGCAATGTAGAGTTAGCGATGTGAGCGATCCGAGTAAACTAGAGCTTTGTAGCTCTAAACACGAAGAAAACACGCAGGAGTATCACAGTGGGACGTTTGCTTCGAGGAATCAGGCTGACACCGCTCACAATCGCTCGACAAATCTAACGTTACCCCCGTCGTCGCTTTTGGTTTACAAAGGGGATTACAACACGAAGCTCGATACGAACAGGAATCTGCAACCGATCCCGAACGCTCCGACGGACTCCACCGGCTGCGCGTTTCAGACGTCCGAGAACCCGATGAATTCCGCGAGATATAGCTCGCAAAAGAATATCACCAAGTACGAAGCGGACGGGAAGTACACGCCGGCGAAGAGTACGCGGTGCGCGGAATTTAGCACACCCTCGCTGGGGGAAGCGAGTAAGTTGACTATGATCAATCGCCTGATCTCGGAAACTCCGTTGAAGCACGCACAAGCCAGCGTGCATCCGAGTCCGTGCACGTCGCACAAGCAACTGTTCCAAACTCCGCATAATAAACTGGCTGGCGATCCGACAAAGAATCATGTCCAGACTCCTTCCACGATATTGTCCAGCTGGTATTATAATAGACACACACCAATGGAGGGCAAGAGCTTCGTCGCGAGGGACCACGTGCAAATGCCCAAGAATACGATTCATACACCTATCGTAGAGACACCGGAGTTGTCGAGGTTCGTGGTGTACTCTGCAACTTTGCATTAAAGATAAACAATATTTTAATTTTATTTATATAGATTTTTTTACTCAAATAGTATCATCGGTGATTTTTGTCGACCGTGTCTGGCAATTAAAATTCTTATTGCGAAAAATTTATTTGCGTAATATTTTTCGCAATAAGAATTTTAATTGCCAGACACGGTCGACAAAAATCACCGATGTTATTAATTTATAATTACTGCTGGCGACTTGAAGAATATTCTTAATAGTTAAATAGTATCGATTAATCGTTATGGAAAGTAATATTCTTGTTTAGGATTTGAGTTTTATTGCTCTTTGCATCGAAAATGAAGTGTTTTTTTTTTCATTTGAATAGTTGCAGCGAATATTAATTTTGAGTTTTATTATTTAGGTACTTCGGAATGGATCCAAAAAACGTAAAGCGACCTTTAACGGATGCTCCGTTGGTGCACGGTGATTCCTTGGCTCATCCTCTGGGATCAAAGCCGCTTCCGTTGCACACGCGTGTTGAGACAAAAGGCATCGTGTCTGAGTCACAGTCGCAGGAGGATAGAAGTAAAAAGACGGTTGGACTATCAGATATAAAATTAATGCAGACAGAAACAAATTGCGATAGTGGTAAGTACTGCAGTGCAAGTTATATGTAATTAATCTGTCGTGTAGTTTGTCGTGCGTTATATTCAGATCTGAAATCGGCGAATCCTAGCGAGGAGGTGAAGGAGAACAAACAGTCTACCATACTAGGAAATGGTCGGAAAACTGTACAGGACAAAAATGAGGGTAAACCGATGATAATCGGTTCCAACGCCGACGTAAAACTAGTACAAAATTCTCGAAACTACAGCGAGAAGCATAACGTCGTTGCGAATGCGGACTGCAAGAGTCACTCTGTCCGCGAGAGGCAATGCAAGGAGATGCAACAGATCGCGGATAAAGTGGCAAACGTGCAGTTCACCGTACCGTCGAATATTCCTTCGCAATGTCAAGGCAAGACGTTGATCGTGAAAGGTAAAGAGTACTCGATCCTAGGCACCATCGGTCGCGGAATGTGCGGCGAGATTCTGCGAGTGCAGGATATATCCTGCGGTGAGTTGCGCGCTGTCAAATGCGTCAACTTGAGCAAAATGGACAAGGACTCGGCCCAAGGTTGCCTAGACGAGATCTCCATGTTGCATAAGTTGCAGGCACCCTGCGTTATTAAAATGTTCGACTAGTGAGTATCGCGTTACATTACAAGCACTCAATATCTTGCCGTGAAAACATTTTCGAGACATCTTACAAGTAAACCTACCCAAGTGGCGACACCGATTTTTATGAGTGTTGAATATGTTTTTCAGCTCACAACAAGGAATACATTTTTTTTATACATACGCACTTTTAGGTGGTAAAATATCCCTTTGAAGAAAGTTTAATTTTCTCTTTCGGGGTGAATATTGATGAAATTATACGTGTTTCTTATTTTAAGCTGAAAAACAACATATTCAACACAAAAATCGGCATGTCTCCACTTGGGTAGGTTTACTTGTTAGTGATGTTCAATGAATATTAACGAGGTATTCGCCTCTAATGGTTCTCGTTAATTTTGCCCAATTATTTCAGTCAAATTAAAGATAGTATGGTTTACGTGGTGATGGAAATGGGCGAAACGGACTTCAGTCGATTCCTGAAATCCATGTCTCAAGAGAAGCAAATATCCATTGTCATGATTCTATATTACTGGGTTCAAATGCTTACGGCTGTAAAACACATACACGAACATGGTAAAAATAACGTGCCTCGTTGCATCTAATCGTTCCGTTTCGTCTATATCGGCCTGTGATTAAGTACATCTTTGTGTTTAGGAGTTATTCATTCGGACTTGAAACCAGGGAATTTTGTACTAGTGCGAGGCCGGCTGAAATTAATAGATTTCGGAATTGCCTCCAGTATAAATTCAGATATGACATCTGTTGTAAAAAATAATCCGATTGGTACGTTAAACTACATCAGTCCGGAAGCCTTGATGGACATTGGTGGAAGCTCTGACTCGCCTACGCACAGTGTTAAATATAAGGTAAAACGAGATAATAACTCAAAATGTATTTCTTTACGATTATTCAAAGAAACGAGAAGATGACTCGCGCGCGCGCGATAATAGAATGTCTCGATTTAAAATGAAATCAAGATTACAAGCTATTTAATTGCACATAACTGGATTATAAGTCTATAGCTCAATATTAGGGATCAAAAAGATTGAAGATTTAAACTGAAAATACATACGCGGGAGTGGCTCAGATGTTTTTCTCTCCCAACAGATAAGTTTCAAGTCCGACGTGTGGTCATTAGGATGTATATTGTACGGTTTGGTGTACGGATACACGCCTTTCCACCATATACGTTCTCAGTGGGCGAAGGTGAACGCTATAACTAATCCGAAACCGAACATTTCGTTCCCGGTCACGACAAACGGCGAAGACCGTCAGAATTGTGAGCGCGTGCCGCCCGTTTTAATCGACGTGATGCGGAAGTGTCTTCAGCACGATCCGAGAGCAAGACCCACGGTGTCGCAACTGTTGCAGGTGCAATATATGCCTACCACGCAGAATACCGTACAGACCTTGCCCCTCAATCTCCCGATGAATGTCCTCATGAAGATAAAACAGGCTGTGAACGAAGACGAATGGCGACTGTTGGTCCAGGTATGAGCTTATTAATTTTTGTCCTAAACACTTTTTTGGAAAGATATTAAAAAGCGCGTTTGTGAAGAGATTTTTCTAGTGCAAAGAACAATCCCCATTATCACCTGGAGATGCAGTTATCATGTTATATTTAGTTATAAATACTTTGCAGTTTTTATTTAAAAATTTTGAAAAATTATAAACATGAACTTTTTATACAGTATTTGTTGTTATATAAGTAAATATTATACGCATTTTTTTGGTTCTATAGCAAGACGTGGTATTAGACTGAATATGGAGATTGTTGCTTTCAGCCCTGACTTTGAGTTGCCCGTAAAACATTTACGATATTTGAAGTTAGCAACTAAATAAACAATCTAATTAAATCAAAATTAACAACCTGTTTTATTATGGTTTTTTTTTCCAGGCATTGGACGCAAACAGACATACGTTATGATATTGTAATAATAACTTGTCGATTAAAACTGATGTACATAAAAGCGTTTGTATATACATACATATAAGACAATGTAATCCCATCAATTTGTACAACTGATAGAAACAAAAGCAAATGCGGTATTTTGTCTTACTAGTATCGCGATCAATGAATTATGCGCATTTTAATATTTAAACGTAGATGTCGAACGCTAAAGAAACAGTATAACGTATCGGTTTTCTCGTCGTACAGATATGCCATATATAAAACACAAAGTCTTTATTCTTCACTTGAAACATGAACATCATTCTCGACTCCTACCTCTTCCATGACACTGATAATAACGGCCCTTTTCTCACGATACATTGCACTCTCGGCGTCGTGATCGCGCCGCGTACAGGATCAATGCGTGAGCTGCCAATATTGCAACAGTCTCTCGCCCTTTGGCAGCGCCATAGAGCTCGGTCTCTCGAACGTCAGCATGATGTCTTTGACCTTGTTCTTCAATTCGTTCTCGAAGAGATGGCCGCCAGTACGCTCCAATGCAGATGCCATGTCGTATTCAACCGAGGGCAGTGGCTCGCGAATAAAACGTGCAGCGGTGGCGATGCTCGGTAGAACGTGCCACTCCAATGCCCGGATCTCCCAGAGGCTGCTGAGCAATGCGTTACTCAGCAACGGATCGCGCTCCTCCATGAGAAAAGGATCGCCCGCTCCGGTGCTTTCGTTCGAAGGTACCTCGCCGCCTTGCGGGTGATCGAGCAGCCTCTTCAGTCCTGGATGTCGGAGCAACAGGTTGCCCACGAAGAGCAGGATTATCAGGATGTCCTCCGGTGGCGCGACTAACGTTAAACGCGCAAGTCGCTTCGCGAACGCCGCTACTAATGTTTCCGGTAGATGTCTGACAAAAAAGGAACGAATGTTCAAGTGATTTTATACAATGCTAAATTTGGTTCTTTTTATTCTCGACTTCTATAACGCGGTACTCAAGATGCGGTGTAAAATACTTACGTCGAACTGAGAAACAGATCGGACAGGTAGAACAGACGAGCCTTGTATTTCGTATGAAAGATCTCGGGCTCGAACATCGAATACAATTTGGTGAAAATGTTTGGGTATTCTAAATTGTGCTTGGTGACGAGTACGAATACACCTTGCAGCGCGAGTACACCGACGGGACCGTCCGCGTCTAGGGAGTCCATCAAAAAGTCGGTTAGCAGTACCGGTTTCTCTAAATGCGACATGATTCGTTCCAACAAAACTATTAGCAACTGTTTGTGTAACTGCGGCGTTAATTCCCAGTGCATAACGCAGGCCCAGACTTTGTTCAATACGCGCTTAACGTTTGATTGATCCCATGTAAATGCATCTACGAAAAAAATTTAAGATACGTTGATTATACAGAAATTTCAACATCAGTATAATGCACACCGCAAAAATTAGGGGATCACTTTTTTTCCCCCCATAAAAACAAAGGTTATTTTCAACTGGCTATACTTTGTTGAAAATGATCCAATTTTAATCGCCGAAAAAGCATTTTGAAGGTTGAAGTTTCAACTTTTAAAATCTTTGGCAGATTTATTTAATTTCAATTCAATTCAAAGTTATGATATTAAAAAGCGGCACCCGACAAATTGCAAAATTTTTCTTCAAATTTGGCAAGGCGCACGAAGTGTAAAACAAATCGGAACAAAATTTCGTTTATTGCGTCGTAAAGCGCGTAGACTTTTCTTTTCAATTTGCTTTTTTGAAAATGATTCTACGATTTTTTTTCACAGAGTTATTCCGTAGCAAAGCAAAACCCGTCCTGAACACTTTGACCGCCTATAAAAGCCGAACCATTTTTCTGTTGAAACAATTCAGTAATGATAAAGAAAAATATTGGGCACAAAGAAAAAAAACAATAGAGCGCCACCCACTTCTCTCCAATGTGTAAGAACAAAGTAATCCCATAATTTTTTTGCGGAGTGTATATGTATATAGATTATATTACCTTGTTGCGGTCCACACAAAAGTTCATTATTGTCCGACATTCTGGATTCTGAAATATACAGTCATTTGAAATGATACTATTTGCATTTATAAAAATGTCAAATAAAGTAAAGTATTAAATTAATAAATAGAAACAAGAGAATCTAAGAATCTATTGAGCGCCGAGCAGTAGCTAATTAGTCGCCGTACATGACGCAGTTTGCAATATTGCATAGTAAAATCGAAGCGTAACTGCGACGGATTATTTCACATAACAGTGCAGAAGTGATATAATTTCCAAATAAGAGACACACCTTCTTCTTCTTTTGGCAGTGGTATTTTGTCTATAAGTTCCAGAAGATTCTTAATGTAAATTTCTTTTGGTTGCCTTTTCGGGGTGAGAGAGGGTAGGCATCTCCATGTATAATACAAAACGTCCGGGTATCCGGTGATCTCTTGTAATCTCGATATTAAATTGGTACAATCCTTTTCGGGAGATAATAGAGTCATCAGGATAGGCTTCAAACGATGCAGAGGAAAGTGATATCCCGGATTGTCGCGCGGCTCCGTTGGCGCTTTACCCTCTTCCGCCATCAGCTTCATCGCAGTCGTGAGGGCTTGCAGTTGAACGGCTGACCGATTCTTCTCCATAGACGCTAGTATTTTCTTCCAGACTTCCTCGTAGCAATGTCTTAGCCAGGTGGTATAGCGAGATTCTGGGCTAGGTTCTATTTCGTACGCGGTATTAAAGTACAAATCTTTAAGGTCCGGATTTTCGTCCTCTGGTTAACGTTTAACCAGAAAATGGAAACCAAGACTAAATGTAGAAAAAAGAAATTAATAACAAGCAACTCCAACGTGATTTCTTGTTCAAATTTAGATACAAAATCTACAGAAATCTTTCGCTAGTGTAACACGAAATGTGCACGATAGCAGGTTTGTTCCTTTCATAGCTGCAGTATGTATACTGTGCTTTCTTAAAATAAAGAAATGCACAACTAGACATCCAGGACAAGAAAAAAAATCCAAGAAATTTAGCTGCAAGGTGCGAGAACTTAATCTCTTAATCTGTTCCTATCCGATCTACAACCAACGTAAGAAATCTGTTCAATCTTACCCGAAATGGTGAGGGATATCGTACGCTCCATGTACATGTCGCCGCGTCTGAGCAGCTCCACGAATATCATTTCTATCGTGAGGAGGCACGTACAGGTGGACTCCTGCAAGTAAAACCGGAAGTCCTTAGGGTGCTTCAATTCCAAGGGCATGAAACGTGTGCGCGAGCGCACGAGACGCGTCTCTACTCACGTCCCAGTGGCAGATTATGTCCAGCAGGTTGTTGGCGTGCTTCCGCGAGGTGAGGAACTCGAGGGCGCGATGCCGCAGCATCCTCGACATCGCCCGCGGCCCCATGCAGGCGCCCGGTAAATTCGACGCGTCCGTCATTACTGGTCGATCTTACCACTCTCCGCGCTCGGGAGAGACCTCGCGGGATCCACGTGGACGGCGTGGACAGCGGCAGGTAGCCGTGAACGATCTACGATGTGGCCAGCTGGTGCCGCTACTCCTCGCGGAGCCTCGACGAGTCGTCTTCGACTTAAAGGCGACTGTAAAAAGTCACCATGTCTGGTCCCGTCGTCGCCTACGTAAGGTTAGGTTGGGTCAAGACGAGGTTAGGTCGAGGCATGCGCCGCGCGTTGTTCTAAGGCTGGATTCACAGCGTAAAGCCCGTATCAGACTACGGATTGAGATTGGGATTAGATTGAAATTTGACCAGAGTAAAAGTTACTGAACTTAAGATTAGTAAACTTTACTGTGATTGGTTAAATTTCAATCTAATCCCAATCCCAATCCGTAGTCTGATACGGGCTTAAGGGTCATTAAAGTAAGATATTAGTCCCAGATTTAAATTTCGCGCTTTATCATCCTGCGTTGGCGCTTCGATCTCCTCATCGCGGGATTGGCTCCTGCTCTGCAGCAGCCCGTTCATTGGCTGAAAGGCCACTGCGTTCTGTGATTGGGCTCATTGGGCTCAAGGTCCGAGAACCGATTCTAGCCGAGAGGTTCCGAGAGCGCACGAGACTCTCTCACGTTGTCTTTCGTTAGCTACGAGACGAGACGAGACGGAGACGGACGTGTCCCTGCCGTGCGAGAGATTGCCGGATGTACTATTCGAAATATATATATATACTTGGTTTAAACTCTGGGTTCTTCACTGACTCCTGGACACGAAGGTCGTCCCGCTCTGCTTCCATCCTGACAGGGGTCTTACAAATTGAAGGACGACTTTAACAAATAATACGATTGAACGGCTGGTTGACCAGGACATTTCACTGGGAGCTATCGAGAAGAGGAAAGCTCCCTTATTCAATCTCTTGCCACACATATCTTAATACTCATCAATCATGTTTAAACGTAAATTGCCAAAGGATTGGATTGCTGTCACTTCTAAAAGTCACCCGGATAGGGTGTATTACTTCAATGTGAGAACAAATAAATCTTCGTGGATTCAGCCAACGATGGATAAGGCCGACAAGGTACGTTACTTATATTTATTCCTTGTGCTATTTCTAAAACATTCTTAATTGTTCAAAACAATTCATTCAAAACAAAACATTCGTTGTGCAGACACCTTCGGCAAATAGGTATAAAGTTCACAAGGAGAAGCATCGTGGTGCAACAACACCCGAGGACAATGCGTTCCGTCAGTGTCCATGTGATAGACTCGTAGAGACCCCGCAAATGAAGGCTCTTAGAGCAAAGATGCAGCAGAGATTAGACGCCAAGAATGCTTCTGCCTCGTCCTCGAAAGCCTCGCACGCAACAACAGTGGAACATAAGAAACAGAGTTTTTCTTCAAGAAGGAGGAGTTTTTCTCCAAAGTCTAGAGATGATAAGTCGGTAACATCTCGGGACCAGAATGATAATAAAGTAACGTGCACGCCACAGATGCGAGTCCTTTACACAAAGATTGAGCAGAGAATTTCCAGAGCGTCTTTAAGCAAAGTAACAAAGGACGATACTAGAAACACGCAACAAGATCGGAATGTCACAAGTCAGAGGTTACAGAGGACATGGGAGAAACGAGAGAGAAATGCAGGACACCAAGAGAGTATTATTCGGAATAAACGTGATATCTCGCAGCATGACAAGAATCAAAATGTTCAGGAATCGCACAGTCAAAATGTTCCAGGTAAATGCACTTGTTTAGATTTTTATTTAAGTGTTATTATGTACTGTTGTACTGACAATTATAATTAATTCTGCGCTTAGGAGAGAGACAGAGAAAAGCAGTCTTAAGGAAAAATCTGGCGAAAGACTGTATGCAAAGAATAAGAAGAAATTTGAGTATAGATAAGGAAAGATTTAAGGAAATGTGTCATTCCGATTTACTCACCAAGAAAACTTCACAAAAGTTCAGCGGATGTTTACCTACTTCGTCCGGTAAGCACATAAAATTTTATATCTAATATTTTTTAATCTCTTCTATAATAAAGTTTCGAGATATTTACTTCAACTTTTCACTCTGCTTTGTGTTTACAGATAACGACAACTTGGAATCGACACGTGTTCATAAAAGTGTTGATAATGCACGACTTAAAAGATTGCATAACAGAGTGTTGAAAGAGGGAGTGTACAAAAGAAATGCTACATTAAGCGACAGTAAGTCGCAAAGTAATGTACAGCAAAAAGGTAATGCACCGGTTACTCAAAATATGACGAGAGACAAATTAATAGAACAGACTGCTCAGGAAGTTCTGTATGAAGAAATGGATTGGGAGCCAATGAAGGATGAAGAAATTGCGTTAGAGGTACTGGTGTTACTAATTAATTTGATTAAACGATTATAACGATTTATATTGTAGACTAAATTCATATTATGAATGTGTTCGGCCGTTGTAATCGTGTATCTTCTTCCAATACTGAACATCTTCATTTTGCATGAAAGTTATTGTAAATAAAATTAATATTTAAAATATATATACTTTTTTTTACATAGGTGGAAGTTGTGAGAGCCCAAATTGATAAAGACACTCGTGTGGAAATCAACTATATGTCAGAAAATATCGTAGAGTTGACACAACCTAACGAGATAGAATCACATGAAAAAAGTCCACTGTACATTGTTGTCGACACAAATGTGTTTCTATCAAATCTAGAAGTTATTGAAAGGGCAAGAGACACAACCTTCAAGAATTATCCACGTCCTTTCATTGTAATCCCATGGACTGTGATTTGTGTAAGTACAATGTATATGTAGATACATTTTATTGATTCCCCTTAGGGTTACAAGGCGTTTTTGAAGGAACGTGCCCAAACCTCTTATAACACCTCTCTCTATGTCCACTTCTCTATTAGCGTTTTCGACTGACTGGAACTGACATGGGTTTTAGCGCTCCCGGAGCGATTAACCCGTAGATACTAGGAACATATGTTCGACCGAAAATGGGTTATGAACCTGGGTTAGGTTCTAGTTACAATATTCTTTTCAATTTTATGATAAAATCGAAATGTTT